CAGAGATGTCATATCGCTCTAACACCTGGAGTAATGATATGGGATGGTATACACATCTGTTGAAGTACTCCCTTAGTGTTCATTCCAGGCACGCTAAATGCCCGGCATTACATCGTTAACGTGTTAAATCAATTTCTTTTTCCTTATCTCTCGAACCGTCGAAGAACATCTTTTGAACAAGATAATGCGTGGCCTCATGTGGCCATATTAACTTAAAGAGTGTTTGACGAAAATAACGTCAACTTCTTACCCTGGCCTGCCCTATCACCAGATTTATCAACAATCGAAAATGTTTAGGATTTAATGCATAGAAGGCTGCGCAATTTACCACATCCTCCAAAGACTTTGGAAGAATGTCTACAACAAATTCAAAATGCCTGGAATGAGATACCCCAGCAGGCAATAGATCATCTCATTTTAAGCATGCCTAGAAGAATACAGTCTTGTATTCGTGCACGTGGAATTTTAACACATTATTAACATTTCTTGTGTTAGACATTTTATTTTTTCTTTGAAATTTTAATCAAATGTTTGTCTACGTGCAATAGTCTTCTCCACCAAATTTCAACATTCTACGCCTACTCCTTCTAGGTGGTGCATTTTATTTGAAACGCAGTGTATTTAAAAAGAAATTGTTACCACAGTGGTAATTAAACAGTCGATTACTAGTAATTTTTAATTTGTTCTGTTTATACAGGGTGTCTCAGAAATAAGTACATTAATTTTAACCAGTAACAGAACTCGTGAAACGGAACAACTTTTTTATCTAGCATTTTTTCGAAAACTCAAGTCGAATTTCGAATTTTCCCACACATATAATCACGAGCCGAGTATGTTCACCTTAAATAATAACTCAATTAATAACAACACTACAACAATGAAGAAGGTACCCTAGCAACTGTTTTGACACTGATAATCATTTTTATGTTAATGTTTTTATTAAACCATGGCCGACTAGTATAAAGAGTATGGCCTGTCCAAGAGGTACCATAGGTGTTGCCATCTATTAATAATTACACTTAATAATTTAGCATAATTTTAATTTGACTTGACATTATGAGACTTCAAAACGTGTAATGGTGGTTTGTTTCGGTATGAATGCCTTTGTGCCTTTCAAAAAGTGTTAATATTTCTTTTGTCGTTTTTGAATTATTAATAGATGGCAGCACGTATGGTACCTCTGGACATGGTAGAAGGAGACATGGTATAGGCATACGCATCGGGTGTGACGTCAAGTGGGGTGAAATTAGCGCGAAATTTAAAATACAAACTTTCGTTATCCGACAACTAATTGATGTATTGGACAGAGCAATGACAACTCAAGCTGAAATTCCCTAGACTTCCCTAGTGAAGCTCACAAGAGTCACAAGGACGTTGATGCCACCTAACGTCACAAATGGATGCGCAGACCATTTTTAAATTGGTACATCGGATGCCTATACCATGTCTCCTTCTACCATGCCTCTGGATAGGCCATAATCTTTATACTAGGCGGCCATGATTAAACGTTGTCTCTTTAAAGTTTGTTTGGCACAGATTTCTAATTTATAGACGAAATGTGTTGAAATGGCTTTGTTTTCAAATCTGGAATGCACCGATATCGTTTTAACGTACGGTGAAGCTCGGGGAAACGGCACTCGCGCCCAACGAATTTTTTCAGATAACCTCCCAAATCGTCGTCTGCCAAATGTGCGCAGTTTTAAGAACGTTGAAGCATTTTCGAGAGTACGGATCTTGTAAACCTGCACGTCAGGATTGGGGTAAGTTACGTAGTAATAGAATTGCTAATATTGAAGAGGCCGTTTTGAAAAGTGTCGAAGCTCGACCGGGCACTAGCACGTATCACTGTCTAGTGTGATGTATCGGAGAGTAGTATTTGGAGGATACTCAGAGAACTAATGTACCCCTTTCAGGACCAGAAAGTTCAGTTATTGAAACTAACAGACTTACCACGTAGGCAAAACTTTTGTAAGTGGGTTAATAGAAAAATAAACGAACAAGCAAATTTTGTATCTCTTATACCATCAACTGATGAGGTCGGTTACACGAGGGAAGGTGTTCAACACCCACATTTGGGCCGATGAAATTCCGTACGCCATTAGGGAGCAGGATTTTCAATTTCTCTCTAAATGTTTGTCACATTGACACGATTAGGAAAATACGTATCCTAGTAACTGTTTTTGACATTAGTAATACATTATTAATTATAATAATTTATTAGTGTCCATGGGTGACTAAGGATCCATGGGCGGGTAACCTTAATTGGGATATAACTTTAACAATTTTTAACTTGACAATTAAAAAGTTCTTGACAAAACTCTACTTAAAAAAGTTGTTGAGTTCAATGAGCTCTATAACTGATTAAAATTAATGTACTTATTTCTGAGACACCCTGTATTTATTTTTTAGTATAAGAATATTATCTGAAAAAACCTGATATATGTGTTATTGAGATGCAATTAACCACTTTGCAATGTGATTTATGTATTTTTTGTAATAAAATGTAAGCTCGGGAAACCTGTTTTTGTAATTTGTAAATAAATTTAGTTCGGTTATTAGTTATTACGCTTTTTTTTATTTTTGGAGCATATGCAACTGCATATCTCTGCATATATTAAGAATGTTACTGCATATTTGCTTAAATTTGATGCATAACATATGATCATATTTGCCAAAATTTTGCTGCATATTTTCCAGTCTCTACACTTAGACAAACACACCCTTACGAAATATTGTAACAATAATAAATTTGATAATTACCTCAGCTTTCGCAAAAGTCATTATACAATATCAAGCATTCCCTGATCATTGGATTACGAGTACTTAGTTATTAGTGTCGTCAATCCTTTGGGTTTTCCGGTAAAAATAAAGAATAAGTTTTACAATATATAATGCCAGCTTAAAATCTAAAATGTAAAGAAATATTCTAGAAAGTAATGAAAATATTGTGTAAGTATGAGGAAATTATAAACGACGGGGCTAGTAGTGTATAAAAAAGTTCGGGCTGCAAAACAATATGGTGAACATTATTTTAAAGAAAAAATGGAATATAGATATTTCGTAATTATTGTTCTAAAATTAGAAAAACAATTCAGCTTAGTCTTTTGTATAAAAAAAAAAATGAAAATCTTAAAAGGGATACCAAACTGGGCAGTTAGGTGGGATTTTATTTTCTACTTTGGCAAATAGTGTTTTAACCGAACCTTACAAACAAGTCTATACAAATATCTAATTGCCAATTTTTAAGAGCTTCTCCAGATGGGTCAATAAATTCTGGTTCAATTGCAGAGATTAAATATTCATATGCGGCTTGCGAATATTAAAGAAGCTATTAAAAATAAAATCATTAATTATTGTACAATAAATGAAGATAATACAATTCATTTGAACCCTAACCACAACTAAGTATATGTATCAGGTGCTGGGTTAACTGTTAACTGGGGAAAACGGTGTTATTTTATCAATTATCATCTACACTGACGTAGATTTAGATTATATTTTGATTGAAAGAGATGATGACTTCCGATATAAACATATGGCAATTGAATTAGAAAAACTTTATTTAAATGCCATGCTATTCACTCGCCGTGGAGTCGAAATCAACAACTCCGAAATATGTTGAAAAAAGGTTTATAGAAAAATTTTAAGTTTTTTTGACAATAAGTATGAACTGTTGAATTTTCTGCGTTGAGGGAGTCTTTGCTTTTTTTATAATTTTTATAATTTTTATTTTATTATTATTAAAATGATTTTATTGATTGCTTCGTTTTCATTATATATACTTTTGATTATTATTTACATATTACAGTATTTACATTTATATTTTCTTTTGTAACTGTTTAATACAGGGTGTTATTGAAAGGTACGTACAACAAAATGGACAGTTCGTTGCGAAACCTAAGAAGTCTGAAAAACTTATTTTGTGTTATCAAAATTATAAGGAGAATATTAACCCTTATCCAACCTTTTTAGACGCTACTGAAGGATAAAAAGGTAACATTAATTTATTTGAGTAAATCCTAGCAACTGTAACTATGAAACTTTTATCAAGACTAAATGTTGCTATAGAAACGAGATATGATCTTTTTATCAGAGGCGTACAACGAATTTGGGCCTAAATTTTAATAATTTTTATCTCTAGAAGGAGAACACTTTTACCTGAACTTTGTTTAAGTTTTAGCACCCATACTTCGAGACCAATTGCCGATTTTATTTTGTACGTACCTTTCAATAACACGCTGTATGTAAATGTAGAAGTTCAGTGTACAGAGGCAGGAATATCAGCACTCTCTTTACCAAACACACAAAACGTAAAGTGAGGTATTTAAAAGATGCTCCATTGTGTGGGCCATAAATTACAGCTTACCGCCTAAGCTAATATTTTGGGTTATCTAACTTACCAAAATTCGCCCCAAATGCATTGCAGTTTTTGTACTAAAAGAAGTAAAATTTTAGAAGAAAACTAAGAACGGAGCCTAAAGCATAAAAAAATTCTCTGTCAACTCGATATTTTTTAAAAGCAGACCGAGTTACAGTTTTCGCTGAAAATGGACTCTTGTTTTACGCACTTTAGTTTTTAATTCAAAACACTTCCTTAAACGTTTTTATGTCATGAGCATGTACATGTATGGCCTTGCTCTTCAACTGTTAAAATGAAGGCGCAAAATGATTCAGTGTTTTGCCTTATTTTGACATCTTTTAACGACTGTGTGGAGAGAGCTTAAACAAAATTTTTACCGCAAATCGGTCACATGCTTTCTAGGGTTCTTTGATCATTAAATATTACGAGTATAATAACAATAACTTGTTCGTTATCTTTCTTATAATCCTAAACTGTTCACACATGTGATCATTGCATTAAAAATAAAATAAATGTGTAAGACAAAGAAATAGTTTTTTTTTTGTTTTTGGCTATTTATTTACAAAAAAAATATATAATAATAAATAATAATTAACTAAACAAAATTTTATGATAAAAAAACACAATAGACATAGGACATTTCCAATAATAATAATCGGCAACAGTTATCGACGTCCGATCCACTTGCACTCTTCCCACAACTCCCAGATATTTTTGTAGCAGCGGCGGCAAAGAGGTCCGTATTTTGGACACTCCAGGGTTGCGCGTTGAGGGACCTCGGCGTCGCAGCACAGTGAGCACCACCTTTTGTCGTCGGTGAGTTTCCTAGGAGTGGGTAACTCCAGGGAATTTTCCATTCTAGAACTAAACCAAAGGAATTAGATCGGAAACTAGGAAACTTAAATTTTACTTACCGATGATGTGGTTGTGTGTTGTGTGCATCAGTGGCTGCTGCTTGAAGATGTATTTTTTTGTAGCAGCCGTCGCAAATGGGTCCTTGATTTCCCCAATACAACGTTGCCCGACGAGAGACCTCGGCGTGGCAGCAAACCAAACACCAGGAGTCCGTGATTTTTGCCGGAGTAAACAACTGCAGCGAATTTGCCATTCTGAACTGTCTGAAGAAGCTGTGTTCTCGACGACTAATGGAACTATGAATTTTACATGTAAATTTTTCCGTTTTTATAGGGGTTGTAGAAGGAGAGTAGGGGTTGTACAAGGAAAGTATGAGTGATAGAAAAAGAGTAGGGGTAGGTACAGGTGCAGAATGTTTGCAAAAGTGTCTATTGGAAATCCTCAATCGTTTAGGATTATGATAATGGTAATTTACAACCCTGAACACCCGATTGCTTATCTCAAAGTAACGAAGGTTCTAAGAATCAGATGTGCATTATGGTGTTTTAGATTATTTTGTTTTTATAAACGGCAAATTTAAGCTTACTAAGGGACTCCACATTTTTGTTATTAACACTAGCAGAATTTGAAATTTTTAGAAATAACTTTGTTATGTTTTTTTAAAAGAAAGATAAAGATCAAAGGGGCCCCTGAGATTTTTTAAAATTCTTGAAAAAAACATACAATGAACCTCTGAAATTTTTTTAACATTTGTAAAAAGAGACAAATGGGTAGCCTGATATTCTTTAAGATTCATAAAAAAACAGAAGGGGCCTCTGAGATGCTCTACAAATCTTTGAAAATACACACACAACAACAGCGCCTGGTATTCTTTCAAAATTGTAGAAACTAAAAATTTAAAAATCCAAAAGTTGAAGAACGCAAAGGAAAATTGCAGAACTGAATCATCAAAAATAAAAAAATCAAAAAATTGAAAAATCAAGAAATTGGAAAATCACAAAATTCACACAACGAAAAATTGTAAATTGATACATTGAAAAATTTAACAATTCAAAGAAAATTGGAAAATTTGAGAAAATGATCAATTTAAAATGGAAAACTAGGAAAAGTGCGAATGAAAAAACTAAAAAAACGAAAAATTGAAAAACATAGGAAAAAACGAGACATGAAAAACTGATAAATTGGAACATCAAAAAGCTGAAAATTCAAAAGTTGAAAAATGGCAAAATTGAAAAAATCACAAATTGTAAAATGGAAAGGCTGAAAAGTTCACACACTACTTTCAAAATCGAGGAATTGAAAAATTTTCAAATCTAAAATTTGAAAAATTGATAAATTTAAAGTTGAAAACTAGCAAAAATGCAAATCGAATAATTGAAGGAGTGAAAAATTGAAATATCGTAGAACAAATTGTAGAATAATTGCGAAATTTAAAATTTACAAAACTGTAAAATTCAAAAATCAAAAAATCCAAAAATCAAAAAATGGAAAAATCTCAAATAAAAAAATTGAAGAAAAAGAAAAATTTTAAAAATCAGATAGTTAAGGATGCGAATGACAATTTGCAAAACCGAAAAATCCGAAAATTGAAAACTGAAAAAGTAACTACCAAATAATTAATGAACCTTTGAATAGAGATTTTTAAAAATCCAAAAATTAGAAACCAGGCAATCGAAAAATTATAAATCTAGAATTTGAAAAATCGAAATATTGAAAACCCCAACAATTGAAATACATTTTGATAAACTTAAAAGAACAATTGAAAAATTGAAAAATTGCTAACATTAAAACATCGATAATATTCAAAAATTTAAAATTTAAAATTGAAAACTAAGGAAATTACAAATGGAAAAATTAAAGAAACGAAAAATTGAAAATTCCAAAAGATGAAGAATGCGAAACGGAAAATTGCAATACTGAATACATGATCTAAAATTGAAGATCGAAAAACTGCAAAAACAAAAAATTGTAAAATTGAAAAATTCAAAAATTAAAAGCCGAGAAACTAAACACTTAATTAAAAATCGAGAAATTAAAAACTTCAGAAATCTAAAAACAGAAAAATTGATAAATTTAAAATTGAAAACTAGGCACATTGCAAATCGAGTTGCTGAAGAAACGAAAAACAAAAGATAGAACTATAGAAAAATCTAAAAGTTACAAAATTGTAAAATTCAAATTCAAAAAATTCAAAAATCAAGAAACTGGAAAATCGAAAATTTCAAAAAACGAAAAATTGTATATTGATCCATTAAAAAATTTCACAATTGAAAAAAAAATCGAAAATTTGGGAAAGTGATCAATTTTAAATTGAAAAAGAGAAAATGAATAAATTAAAGAAATGAAAAATTGAAAAATCGGAAAGTTGAAGAATGAGAAACGAAAACTTGCAAGACTAAAAAATCTAAAAATTGAAAAAAACAAATATTGTAAAATCGAAACACTTGAAAAATTGAAAAAAAAAAGTTTTTTTTCAGTTACCTATTAACAAATTTAACATTAACTTAAGTTTTAAATATTCGTGTGTAAAAGCAATCCCAAGCACCGAAACATAAATAACATAAAAACCATCAAAAAGTTTTGCTGAAAACAACCACTTTGCCCAGACTTTGAAAAATTCAAGAAATCCACCTCAATCTTGTTTAGCAGCGCCCAAACAGCAAACTTTTTCAAATTTTTCGAATCAAAGTTATTTCGAATTTGTAACAACTCGATCTTAAAGTTATGTGCAGTAAAATCACCACTTAAACTCTTCAATTTGTTGCTTCTAAGATCCACCTCTTGAAAGTGATGCGTGCGAAAAATATTTACCGAAAATGACGTCAGTAAATTGGAACTAAGGTCGATTACAAAACTGCTTCTGTTCAGTCCCTCAAAAACATCTTCATCTATAAACGCAATTCTGTTCATTCCTAAGCTCACACTGAAGTGATCTTTTTGCACGAAGCTAAAAGACCGTTTCACTAAATGAGTGATTTTGTTATTGGACAAACGCAAATTTTCCAGCAGAGGTACCATCGAAAATGTTTCAGTGTTGAAGACGGACAAGTTGTTATAACTTAAGTCTACATCATGTAATCCAGACATGTTAAAAAATGCTTCGTTTTCTAGTTCTTCAGTTGGGTTTTCTGTTAGTGTCACGGTCTTGAGCTTATCATTTGTAAATGTGTGTGCTTTTATTGTTTTTATGCTGGTTGTTAAAATCATCAAATTAGATACATCTTGGTCGTGTAAGAAATCTTGTCCTAAATCGGTCACACTAGGACTATCTATTACTGCTAAATATTCCACAGGGTGCGAAATATTAAATGATCTTCGACTCAGTTTTGCTGCATGAATCTCGCTAATGTGGACGTAATTAGTCTCAAACGGTATTGAAATGACGCAATTACTTTTTTCTATGCCATGTTTCTGACCATTAACATATATGGAGATTGTGTAATTTATCAAAGGAGATGTTGATTGGTTACACATCAAGGCAAGTGTTTGGAGTGATAAAACTTAGAACTATCGACACGAACATCGTGAAACACACTTGAAAGGGAATGAAGTGCTTTTGTTATTGTTTTCGTAGAAAGAGAATTTTTTCCCATCAAACTATCTAACACATTAAGTCCTCATATTCTGTTGCAACCTTGAATAATGCTTTTAATGGAGAAAACAAATTTGGTAATTTAACACTCATTTTTACACAAATTAAATTAAATTAAATAATAAAAAGTTATAAAAACTGGGCTAAAGCCACTTGGGAGTCATTAAAAATAAAAAAAAAACAATTCTAATGTAACTTTGGCTTCAACAAATCTAATCTAAGCAAATAGTACTTAAAATATTGGAAAAAGTTTATAGAAGGAGAGTAGGGGTTGTTTGTACAAGTAAAGTGGGGGTGCTAGGAAAAGAGTAGGGGTTCTACAGGTGCAGAATGTTACAATGTTACTAATACAAATTTGGTAAATAACTTGGACATGCTATTTATATCAATTTTCAAATAACTTCATCTACTTTACTTTTTGTTCTTTTTACATATTTATTGAAAAACGACCTATATATCACATATTTCCATAGATTTGTATAATCACTAGTTAATACTTATTACTTAGTTGGTAAATTTGTGCGGGCTGGCAAGTCCCACGAAATTGTATAGGATTTGTAAATTTGTATGTGATGTGTATTTAATTACTCCCAGTATCACCCCGAAACTTTCTCTTCGTCCACATGCATGTCGCAAAACCTATCTTTTGTTCACCATTCTCAGTAATACTTATCCTTTCCCAGATTTCGAATGAATACCTTCCAAGAACCCTTTAGACACAACTGTTCCCACCGGAGAAGCAACATTTTTCTGCGCTTACCTACAAATTAAAACAATTTTAGCTTTATTTGTTATTGATCTATGCGGCTCCGAATGATATAATTTCTGAAGTTGTGAAATGAAATCACCGTAAACTAAACTAAAATATTCACATTAGCATTATCTTATTATCTACAATTAAGACATAATATTAGCAAATTTGTAGCTGACACATTCCACAAAATTATACCTTGAAATTTCATTCCTTTTGAATTGAACAATTTTAGATTTTATAATCTATATCTACCAAATACATATTTTGCAATATATCGTTTTCCGTTTTTATACACGGAATTTATTTTTATATAGAAATCAGTTTGAATATTTTTCAAAGCGTCCAAAAAGAAAGAAAATTAAACCAAATAGATTTCGTATCCATCTGCCAACTTCCGACTGGGTATTTTTGTATTCCACGCCAAGTCCCACACATTTTATTTTATCGCACCTGTTTCTAAAGTCAAATATGATGTAATTAACTCAATAACATCAACCCAAAATACACAACTTAGCATGCCTGTGCCTTTCTACGAAAGAATTGTTGGCAAATGAACCCATTTTTTTATAATGTCAAAAAATGAATTGGTTTATATGATCCCAACTATGATTTGTCAGGTTGAAAACACGGTTTTTCGACCCAATGGAAATGCGAGTTACTATGGTTTGTCGCCAAAAGCCCACGCTCAGAAAATTGAGAATAAATTAAATTTTTTGCATTTACAAAATGTACTTGCAAGATAAGCTGGGATGTATTTTTCGTAGTTGATTTTTCTTGAAAAAATTTCAATTTACTCATTTCTTAAGTCTAGTGAACCTACTTTGAGCGGTGCCCGGTGCCTTAGTGCTTAGGGATTAACTGACCCTTATAATTACCAAGATTATACAGGTACTACTGGCGTATTTGTGCCCTGCGCCCCATCCCCGAACGA